GCTTAATATGTGTATGTGTGGTCTAGGTGAACTTACCTGAACCAGCTCTGGGATTCAACTGTGTTGGTGGCAATGCTGCCTCCCTTGTGCTCAAATATCTGAGGTGCAATGAACATTTCCGTTTTTGTGCACTTTCAGATGAATTGCTTTCAAGCTGAAAGCTGTGAAAACATAAATATTTCAGGGAAGGAGGAACCATGGTAACATATGGTGGGATGTCTAAGAAGCCAATCACCGTGTCAACAACATCTTTCATCTTTAAGGTAATGGATAGATCGTTCAGATAAATTAAATTTGCATGACTATATCCAAGCGCACGGACCGGTTCTTCTGTTTCCTGATGACACGGAAGTCGCTAGGTGTTGTATGTCTTTTGCGCACTGTGTTAAAGTTTGACTACCCTACAGGATCTGGCATTGCGAGGATTCTGGCTGCAGAATTGGTTGAGTATGGGTAAAGTAAAAGAATGCAGAGAGATGATAGACTATCTCCTTGGGCTTGCGCGGGATGGGAAGCTAAAATACGAGTGAGTCTTTTTCTTAAATAAAGATTATTAACTCCTTGGAAAGTCTCTTCGCTTTTTTTGTTTGTTAAACTGTATTTTTTTAAAATCAACTGTTGGTTTCTTCTAACAGAACGGAATTGGTTCCTTTCGAAGAGTTTCCTGTTGCTCTCGATAAAACCCTCGGGAAGCTAGGTAAGCAACCTAAACAAGTCATCAGATTCTGACGACGCTTCATTCTTGTGAGCCATTTAGTAAGTGTTGCCACTATATTAGTATTAGTTACTAATATGATAATGCACAATGTACTTTAAATATACACTTTGCATGTCTTGTTAAATCTATCAGAAACAATGAGAATGTAGACTGTATGAACCAAAATAAATTATTATGCTCGTGCTCTGAATAAATGCGGTTGATCCTGATTTAATTTATAATTTGTTCTCTAATTCAATATAGTTTTAGCTTTAATTAGGTGTGTATCCGCGCTTCGCCGCATGTTTCTATATATACATGTTTTAACTGAAAGACTTGTTACATCCTAAGAGCCTGGAACTTATATTTCAAACATTTGAACTTGAGATGTGAGATGGAATGTCCATAATGAGCTCCAATGATTGTAGATAGTATAGGAACTTGCATAAGACAATTTGAGGGACAAAGTCTTGAAAAGCGCCACCCCCTACACTCAAAACATTTAGTGAACAATGTTAACAGGTGGAACATGTCTTCTTAAAGAGAAGACATATCACTTATAAGGATGTGGTTCATAACATCATGTATTGGAAATATAATTGCGATTTCTTTCAATGTGATAGTTCCCTTATGATGTAAACAAAATACTGATAAGAAAGAAAAAGATTCTTTAATACAAAGAAGCTGCCTCAAATTTGCATCGACAAGCTGTTTCAAATTTGAAGACCTAACTAGCAAGCTACCATCATCATTTGGAATCTGCTCCAACCCAGCAACGGTTCTGGTGATGGTCTCAATAACCGTGAGTTTCAAAATCTACAAGCATTCTTTTAAATCCAGTTTTGGGAAAGAAATAAATGGAAGTCGTCGGGTAAAATGTATAATTGTAAATCAAAAGAACAAATGATTAATAGAAAATCAAAGAAGGAAAAATCATATTTTAATAAAATAAATAAATTTCATTGTTATGCTAGTGGTTTTGAATAATAAGATGTGAAGAGACACAAAATAATGATAAGAGTATAAGAAGAGTAAATGAAACACATAAATTAACTTTGTTGAATAGATCTACCAAAATAACCCTAGCCGCCCAAGCTCTCAACGAAAAAAACTCTTCTTCGTTCTTGTTTGGGGACCGACTACCGGTGGCTTCCATAGCACCGTGGCCGGTCTCCTCGTCTTTTTTATTTTAGTGTTTGTAGAGTTTTAGATTCACACTTTCAATTTTCTCGGTTTTTCTTTTTTCGTGGTGGAGGAGCCGTGTTGCTGCCGGCGATTGATTTGAAAGAAGAGATGGTGTCGGTCTCGGTTAGGATGACGGTGTTGTTCGCAGCGGAAAACATCTCTCTATCCGTTTAGGTATCTGCAATTTGGTTTTGGTTCGTTTTTTTCTAGACAGCTTGTAATTTTTTTGGTTTCCGTTGGAAGAGGTATCGTTTTTAGGTTGTCAAGCGAATAATAGCTTGAGAATTTTTACTTCGGAAGGTAGTACTACTTTGCAATATGAGGATTTGCTATCGGTATTCGATTCTTGTGTCCACTTTGAATTGCTTTGATCATTGGGAGTTTAGTCAATTTTGTTGGTACATATTTGCCTTTGTTTCCTCCCCTACTGGATGAGGTTCGGTTGTTTTGTGTTTTGCCCAACGGAACGTTTGTATTATGATCTTTGATGTGGTGTCTACATATTTTGAAAGAGTAATAATTACCAGCCATAAAAGAAAAGTTAGATCGGAAGCTTGGAGCATTGTGGTTGTTCCCTTCTTCTGGCAACCAGTGCACTGAAAGCGTTGGTTGTGAAAGACCTTTGTGGTTTCATGCTCTTATAGAGGCAGAGTTTGCTAATAGACATAAGAGCATATGATGATCAAGTTATAATATTAAGATAATGATAGTAATTATCATCTTAAGGTTTTGGGATTAAAAACATAGACTAATCATTTGTGAC